AACCATGTTCTGGGTTGACATGATTCAGTTAACAATAATTAGTTAACCAGAAGCAGAACTACAGAAGCAAAGAAGTACATTTTGAGGCTTTACCAGAAAGGGTTTTATTACTATGAAAAGACATCATGACCAAGGCAACTCTTACTAAGGCAAGCATTTCATTGGAGCTGGCTTACAAGTTTCAGAGATTTAGTGCATGGTGGGAAGCATGGCAGCGTATAGACAAACATAGTGCTAGAGGAGCCAAGCGTTTACATCTTGATCTGAAGGTAGCCAGGAAGAGACTGAATTCCACACTGGGTAGAACTTTGAGCATATGAGACCTCAAAACTCACTCCCACAGTGACATACTTCTTCCAACAAGACCACACCTTCTAATAGTGCCACTCCCTATGGGCCAAGGGTTCAAACACACGAGTCTTTGGAGGTCCATAGCTATTCAAACCACCATATGGACTTGGATGGATTAGGCCTTTGTTTTAGGTTTTGGCAGATGGTGCTGTGTCCATGTTGAGTTTTACAGCCTGGGTAGCACACTCCATCGTGTAGTCAGTTATGCTAAGGTCTCAGAGCCTACTAAACCTGGGGTGCTATTATAATGCACAAACACAATGGAGTTTTATGACCTAGTGTTCTAGGTCTTTCTGCATTTGAGGTGTACAGTTCAAGTGTGCAGAGCCCAAATGAAAGCAGTATAAAAATTGCATAAAATAAGAGTAACTATATTGAATGATTATGATGGCCCAACATAAGTTTCCCTTACATTAAAAAAAAAAATCAGTGAAGTCTTTACACTGAATCAGTGAGATAGTAACATTGCAAAACTAGTAAGCAATAAAAATAGTCTAAGATACTAGTTATATTTTGTAAAGAAATATTCTTTATTTTTTTTACAACAATGTAATTGCTTTGCTGTTCTAGCAAAAACTAATTAAGCTCATCGGAATAACTATATTAATTTTTATTAGCTGGTTGATGATAGGTGATTTAATTGATTCTGTATATTATTAGAAACTTACCACTGTAATCAACCTGCTCCTAAGCATCTAGGTAGTCCCAGTGGGTAGTGGGAATGGTACCTGAGGGTCAAGAGTGGTCTTTACCTGGTGAGTAGCTGCACTGCCAAGAGTGTGGTTGAATATTTGCATTATTAGGTGTACAGGTGCATACCAGGTGCTGGGAGCTGTATTGATTTGTGTCAGTGAAGATACTGTGTCCAGAAGAACAGTAGCTATGGGATAGAACACTTGGTTAATTGTAAACATCTGTATTTCCCAAGAGCTAGCCAACTCTCTACAAAGTCAAGTGTTACCTTAAGTGACAGTGTATTTAGGCTTCACCATCCTTTTGTCTTTCAGCTATGTGGTTGTGACACCTTTAAAGTTTTATTGTGATATTGGGAACTTAGACTTAGCTCCCTCTACCACATTGTTCTTACTTCTGGATCACAATCAGTATGGAAATCCTACTTGTAGCCTAATGTCTATATGGTTGCCCGTTTTGGGACTGAGAAGGTTGCCATAGGGTGCGTAAATAGACCACTGTCTGCTGTGAGCTAAACCTGGATATGTACTTGATGGTTTGAACATTAGTCTGACTGTTAAACCACACTAGTGTTTGGAGATGGAAATTTATATCAATTCATTGTTATCATAGGCATAGTTCTAAGACAGCCTTCAAACACAGAATTCCTGCTATAAGGGATTTTTTTTTTCCAGGAATAATCAAGGTTTCAGATGAATTGTTTAAGTAATGATGATTATTCCAGATTAGCCTAAACTTGTTAGGTGAGTCCTTAAAAGAGACTGAACTAACCCTGGGGGTTGGGGGTGGGGTGGGGCGGAGGAGACACATAGAAAGTAAAGAAGGACTTGACTCAAGAGTTTCTCCATTGGTGACTTTGAAGAAAGGCAAGAGCAGTCTCTAGGGGCTAAAAGCAACCCTCCAGTGACATTTAACAGAGAAGTGGTGACCTCAGTCTTATGACTACAAAACTAAATTCATCTTTCAGTGTTGCTCTGGCAATATCTATACAGATACCAGTACCATATTTTCACTGTAAAAAACTTCATTTGTGAATGGAACTCTTAGGTGATGTCCTGATATCAACTCTTGATATTGTGATATCAACTCTAAAGTGATATCCATCTTTCCTAAAGGGTGGCAAAAGAATAATTCCTCACACATCCTTCCTTCTTAAACATACTTACATAAAGAAACAATTATATTATGTCAGAATAGATGTTTCAACTAACTGAATTGCAAACTTTGCATTGTCCATATGCCTGTAAGAAACTGATTTTATTGGTCTTTACAAAGTCCATAAGTTTTTTAGAAGCAGCATGATTTGATAAGGAAATTTTAGTAACTTAATAATCATATATTTTCCCCTATGAACTATTCATTTTTAAGAGCAGCAGGGAGCACAAGATCTTTTGTCATGTAGCACTTTTTAAGTTTTGAGATTAAATGAGAAGTTTCAGAGAACATAAGGAAATACTTTTAATTGACAATAACAAATTTCTCAAAATATTGTTTGAAGATTTCAAAAAATTACTCAAACTATTACAGTGGCTTATTAGCTTACTCCGTATTCAGTATTTAATTTAACTGGTTTCATGGTCTCTACAGCCAGAAATTCATTTTCAGTTAAGCTGAGGTTTTTTCACACCATCAGTTATTAAAAGTGAATCCTGCAAAAATGGCTTTCCTGCATATCCTGTTCTATAGCAGAGACTTCAGCACTGCTGTCTGTGCCTTACCTCTTCTGTTCAAAGTCAGCCACTTATCCATAACAGAGAGTGTCTCACCCTAAAATAAAAATGCTACTCATAATTTCTCAAATAAGTACTAGCTTTAGTATATAGCATTATTTTTAAGTTTAACTTTTAGTATGGATGTTTATGGGGCTACCGAGGTACCTCAGCACCTGTCACTCAGTGATGCAAGCCTCAGGACTTTAGGTTGATTCTTACTACTTACATAGGGCTGGAAGGAGAGAACCAGCTCCACAAATTTTCTCTGACCTCCAGGTGTGTGTGTGTGTGTGTGTGTGTGTGTGTTCTTGTATATAAAGAAAAAAGCACTGTATTTCATAACACACAAATAGTCTTGGTTCGGACTGAATGGATTTGTGTGTTCACAATCAAGGCTCAAATGAAGTTGTGCAGTGCACCCTGGATGAGCACTATCAAATTAACTACTGCTTCATTGTCTCACTTGATTTTTGAATTAAATTTTGGTCATTACATGTTCAGAAAGCTTTTACTGTTGCCAGCCAGATGTTTTGAAAAACCCCATATTCAACTACATAATACCATCTGATTGTGACAGAGAGTTTAAAAGGCTGTATAAATATAAGTCACCGAAAGGTGGCTTGAAGTATATGGGTGTTTGTATAGATCACCTGCAAATATTACTTCATCTGGTAGAAACACTTGGAGATTTGGGGTCATGGAACCAGTCCTTGTTATACTAAGGTACAACTGTATATGTCTAACAAAACCACATCTTTTCAGAAATAGTCTAGTTTTTAACACACAACACATTAGTTTTATTGAGGTTTGGAAAAACTTGTAGAGAAGTGATAAGGTTCAGTGGGAGACACAGCAAGCACAGCCTCAAGCTATAATTCCAGTCCTGTTTGTGTAGGAAGTTGTAAAACTAGAAAGTTTTTTAAAAACATTTTTTAAAACCTGAATTTATTTAGTGTGTCCACATGTACTTCAGTGTGTTTGTGGAGGTCAGAGGATAATTTGGAGTTCTTTTTTCCCACCATGTTGGTCTTGGGTATTGAACTCTGGTTGTCAGGCTTGGCAGCAAATGCTTTTAGTCCTTTGCTAGACCCTCAGAAATGTTTCTTACATAGCTCTTTTGAAAATAAGATATGCCGGGCGGTAGTGGCGCACGCCTTTAATCCCAGCACTTGGGAGGCAGAGGCAGGCAAATTTCTGAGTTCGAGGCCAGCCTGGTCTACCGAATGAGTTCCAGGACAGCCAGGGCTACACAGAGAAACCCTGTCTTGAAAAACAAAAACAAAAACAAAAAAAATTCATAACACAAAAAAAATCAGTTTTGTTATCTGTTTATTTAAGTGCTAGGGATAGATCCCAGGGCCTCATATATGCAGACAAGTACTTTACTAACTATACTGACTATATCCTTAGACCCAGCGTTTACTCTCTTAGAATGTGTCATTTTAAGTGTAGTCACAATGTTGTAAATCATCCCTATCTAATTCCAGAACATTCTTGTCATTCCTTAAAGACAGTGCTACCCCTTATTCCTCCTCACTCTACAGTTCTCCTTCCCTCCTGCTAATGTACTTATGTCTCTGTGGCTTTCTCTGTTCTGGATAGTTCACGTAAGTGGAGTCTGATACTTTTCTGTGTGGTTGAGACTCCATTCTGTACATATGTCTGTATATACAGCACACTACCTTTGTTTACCTATTCATCAACTGATAAGACATTTGGCTGATAAGAGGATATGTTTATGTGTCAAGGTTTTATGTGGGTACTGTATGTTCAATGCTTATGGATATACACCTAGGATCATTGTTGTCGATCACATAGTAAATTCCATGTTTAACTTTTTGAGAACTCCAAACTGTTTTCCAGATTCATAATAATTGTACTGTTTTATGTTTTTACTCATGACTCTATATTGTCTTATCTATGAAAAGAAAGGGTGCAGTAACAGTCTTGCAGGGAGAAAAGTTTGAGGTAAAATGAATAGGTTTTGGGCCAAAATGTTTTCTCCTATCACATTCTACATATCTTGTATAATATTTAGGGAAGCAAATTAGTATAATCAAGAAAAATTTAGAATTCAATAAAATAAAAATGATTCAAAATTGAGCATGTTTATCACTTTTTAATTCAAGATTAGTAGATGAATATATTTTATTTTTTTTAGATTTTTTAAAAAGCTTTATATGTATGGTTGTTTTGTTTTCAAATATATCTTTAACCTGATTGGATAATGCTCTTTCCTTACAGAGAAGCTGGCAGAGGCTCAGCGGAGGTTTGCTACACTTCAGAATGAGCTTCAGTCATCACTGGATGTTCAGAAAGAAAGCACTGGTGTCACAACATTGCGACAACGCAGAAAGCCAGTGTTCCACCTGTCCCACGAGGAGCGTGTCCAACATAGGAATATTAAAGACCTTAAACTGGCCTTCAGCGAGTTCTACCTCAGTCTCATCCTGCTGCAGAACTATCAGGTGCTTAGTTTTACCCTACAGATTGGCATTGTAAAATAAGGTTCCAGTAAGTGAATTACCTTGATCTATACTGAATCCCCTAAAGACTGAAATCATTTTTATTCTTGGGGTTCTTGGAATTAAGATGTCTTTGTGGAAAAACAAAAACCAACAACCATGTATTAGAAGAAATAAAACTATTAACAAGACTTGTTTTTAAGCAGTTTGTGTGTGTGTGTGTGTGTGTGTGTACGTACACAATCTACACAATCTTTTATAGGGATGGCTCAGCAGATATAGCACTTGCCATTCCAGTCTGAGCACTGGAGTTCGGGTTCCCTGAGCCCATACAACAGCCAGGCAGGCATACAGCCCCCTGTAATTCCTACATACAGGAGGCAGACAGGAATTTCCCAGAGAATATTGTTAGCCAGACTAGCAGGAGCAGAGAGCTCTTAACCAAGCAAAACAGCCTGCCTCAGTAATATAAAGTAGATAGCAAGTGAGGAAGATACTCAAATCAACTTCGAGCCCCACACACATACACGCTTAGTTTAAAAAAAAATTTATGCAGTACTTAGGGGTATTTTTTGACTCAAAGACTAGCAGTTTACTTCATATTTAAACTCTTTGATGAACAAAAATAAATGTCTGTTACAATGTTGATTATGTAAGTCTTTATATTCTTAACCAATAGCTAAAGTTCAGAAAAGTATTGGATCTTTCTATAACAGGAATTAATAAAACAAAAGCAACTGGACAGTAACATTTTTGCAGCTTGCCATAATATAACAAAAGAGCTTCTCTTTTTAGTTTGCCACTAAAAGAATTCCCATTTTAAAGTAACCATATCAAAAAATTAAGTTAGATTATACTAGCTAGATGCAAAGGCTAAAATTCTAGGCTGTGATATCAATATTTTTTAAACCTAGTATAAAAATTTTGAACATCCATAGATGCTAAAATAAATCCTAATTCATGCATTTGTAATTTGTTATCATTACAAAACGGGTCAATAATAGACATCTACATCTCTGAGTCTGATGGACCACTTTACATTTATTTTCTGGATGTAACTTATGGATCGCTCATTGTAAGACAACAGGACATCTAAAAAGTAAAAGTTCCACAACAAATGTTGACCTGAGGTGACAGTGATATACTTGTCTCTAGCATGCATGAAGCCCTGGGGTTGGGTCTGCTTAAAGCTGGGTGTGGTGGCACATGCTAATAATTCTAGCACTAGTCAGCTGGAAGCAAAAGAATCAAGAGTTCAAGATCATCCTCAGCTACAAAGGGGGTTGAAAACAGCTTTAAGGCTATCTCAAAATAATAAATAACAAGGTTTTCTCTGTAATGTTGGGTTGTTTGTTTGTTTGTTTGTTTTGCTTTTTGAGACAAAGTTTCTTTGTGTAGCCCTGGCTGTCCTGAAGTACTTCTGTTAGACCAGGCTGGCTCCAAACTCACAGAGATCTGCCTGCCTCTGCTGGGATTAAAGGTGTGCCCACACTTCCCAGCAAGTGTTATTATTTTTAAATACAAAGTACTTGAAATCCATACCTACAGTGATCTAGGTTGTTAGTAAGTGTACCTTTCCTATCAATTTCATAATTTTCTTTGATGATTTAATGTTATAACATTCAAAGAAGAACCCAGTTGAGAAATAATTCAGCAGAAAATTAATAATGTGGGAGAAATAAATGATAAATTTCTTTGTTTTCATTAGATTCCCCAGGCTGATTGGAAACTTGAATTCCTCCTACCTTGACCTTCTGAGTGACTGGTTAATTGGCCATACACCTAGGCCCCGTTTTTTACATTTTTTTCCCCCATAGCTTTGTAATTTAATTTTTAAAAATTCATATCAGTACCTAAATATTAAAAGAAATAAAATGCTTTCCCACAGGTTTTTAATTTAGTATTAACCTAGTGCTCAACTATTCAGAGCACTTGCTGCTCTTCTAGTGAACTTGAGTTCATTTCCTAGTAGCCACATCGAGAGCTTCACAAATCTTTGTTAACTGCTGTCCTTTTCTGGCCGCTACAGGCACCTGTCCATGTGTGACATACAGATACATAAACACATATGCAAAAAATAAAAATAAATCTTTTTTTTAAATAATAGGAAATATCCATATTTTCAGCAACTTTTTGTATACATAAATATATATGCAAAACTAAAAATAAATCTTTTTTTAAAGTAATAGGAAATATCCTTATTTTCAGCAACTTTTTGTGTTGAACAATTATGAAAACAAACAAACAACCAAAAAAACCAAGGACAAAACACAGTCATTTGTAAGCCACCATGTAGGTCATAGGAATCCTGGGATTTCTTCTACAATAAGGGTTCTTAACTGCTGAGTCATCTCTCCATAATTATTATAATTATTATAAAAGTTATAATAACTATAAAAGTTCTGTTCTAGAGCTGGACAGATGACCCAGTGCTTAGGAGCATGTGCTGCTGTTCCAGAGGGACTTAATGGTCTCTGAGGGCACCACACACACACTGTGCATTTATAGCCATGCAGGCAGAGCTCACATAGATACGAATAAATGGATATTTTTAAAATTGTTTTATTAATTCTATAAGAAGATATTTCTATTTAAAAAAATTTTAATGTATTTATATATATACATACATACATATGCATACATATGTATATATACATACACATATATGTATATGTTTGTTGCCTGGTTATCTATATGTATGTTGCATACATGCAGTATCCATACAGACCAAAGAGAGCATCAGATCCTCAGAACTGGAATTACAAGCAGTTGTGACTGTCTGATGTAGGTTCTGGGAATTGAATCCAGTCCTCTGCAAAACACCACATATACTTAACCATTGAGCAGTCTCTTCAGAATATATTTGTTTTAAAATGAGGAAGAGAGGAAAATCATAAGGCCATATCTAGGGCTAAGGAAAGTGTTTTTCATGAAAACATAAAGAACTGACTTAGATTCCTAAGACTAAAGTAAAAACCCCAGGCGAGGATGTGGACAAGAGGATCCCTGAGGAGTATTGGCTAGCCAGTCTGACCAGATGGTGAGCTCCAGGTTCAGTGAAACACCTGCCTGAACAAAAAAAGGAAAGATGGGGAAATCCTGAACACACATGCATGAACATATACTACACTGCCTGCGCGCGCGCACACACACAAACACACACACACACACACACACACATACACACCCACATACCAGTTTCATCATGCATTATGGTACGAGGAATAGATTCTAACAAATGAGCAAGAAACCTTAGCAAATACAGACGACCTCATTTAGATCTAATCTAGACCCTCAAGTCCATGCTGTCCTGCCATTTCAGACGATGAGCACAACTGACTGTGGTGTAGGAAAATTCAGTCTTTTGATTTTGTAGAAGCTGAAGGAAGGCAGAGCTTCCACTCACTGTCGCTGCCTATGCTGTGGTCCTTTCTGCCCTTCCACTGGCCTCTCCTCATTTTGATTCCTAAGCTGAGACGAATGGAAAGAAAGTGGAAGTTAAGAGAACTAGATACTTGTCTGTTGTTCATGCCTGTAGCAATGAAAATCTCTTCTTTACCATTGAAGAAAAGGAGAGAGAGAGAGAGAGAGAGAGAGAGAGAGAGAGAGAGAGAGAGAGAAGAAACAACCCTCAAAAAACAAGCCATTAAAGGAAATGGATTCAGTGAATGATGATCGCAAGACATTTTCTAAAAGGACTACTCTTTTGGCTAAAGCAGTAAAACAACCCATTTTGAAATGGGTATATATGGAAAAGTTGGAAGTAAAAATGTTTGGAGCTAGCCGGGCAGTGGTGGCACACACCTTTAATCCCAGCACTTGGGAGGCAGAGGCAGGTGGATTTCTGAGTTCGAGGCCAGCCTGGTCTACAGAGTGAGTACCAGGACAGCCAGAACTACACAGAGAAACCCTGTCTTGAAAAACCAAAAAAAAAAAAAAAGTTTGGAGCTTAGGATTTTCATTAATTTACTTGGAAGAAAAATAAGAACCTGTGACCAGAGAGCCTTACCCCTGTTAGAAAGGCGCTGGTGCTTCCTAGGCTCTCAGTATCTGCTCAGTCAGCTCAGTCAGTATCTACTGCTTCACTGTGTTAATCTTCTTTAATGATGCTACGAATGATAATTGTATTTCTCTTTTCTCCCTATAGAATCTGAATTTTACAGGGTTTAGAAAAATCCTTAAAAAGCATGACAAGATCCTGGAAACATCTCGTGGAGCAGATTGGCGAGTGGCTCACGTGGAGGTGGCCCCATTTTATATATGCAAGAAAATCAACCAGCTCATTTCTGAGACTGAGGTACAACACCTGCTTGTTTGCTATATATGTTCAGTCTCCTCTGTGTGTATTTTAAAGAAATAATTCACCATTTTTGTTCTCCAGCCTTTTGTAAATTGCTGGCTTAAAGTACCTATGCTCTTATTTAAGGTCTTTCTTTTCCTTATCGGTATACTTTTCAACAGGCTATCAAGACAGTATACACGTGTGTATGTATCCTTATCCCTTTCATTTGGAATAACTTATACAAAACTTGATCATTTCTCTTTTAGGCTGTGGTCACCAATGAACTTGAAGATGGTGACAGACAAAAGGCTATGAAGAGATTACGGGTCCCTCCATTGGGAGCTGCTCAGGTTAGTCCTCGATTCCAGTGCTTTGTTGCCGTTTGCATATTTAATAACACAATATTGTTGTTGTCTGGTGTCATTACCTTAAAAGGTTTTGTAAGTAGTTGCTACTATTCTCATTCAAAAAAAGGTAGATTCCAGGATCCAAGCATGGTGACACATATTTTTAATCCAGTGTTTAGGAGGTTAAGGCAGGATAACCACTAGTTCAGGGCCAGCCTGGATTATATAATAAGACCCCATGCCCAGGAAAGAAAAGGGGTCGGGGAAAGGAAAGAAAGGAGAGAAGGAAAATTTGATATGAGCCTTCATAGTGTAATGAATTGCAGAGCCTACCCTTTTCTGTTGGTGCTACCCCCAGCTCCCTGCCCTGCTTTTTCTTATACATACGTGCTTCTTGGTATTATCAGCTGAGATAAAGCGTTTTGTTGTTGTTCATGATATGGGAGATTTAGATGTACTGGGTTACCGTATAGCTTTTTCCAAAACAACAGTTATGCCCCTTGTAAAAGAGGAGGGTGGGGGAATTTATTAAATGCTATTTATATAGCATATAAGTTATATCTCTTTCTCATAAAACATGTCTCAATAAATTAAAATAATTTTTATCATAGAGTATTTTGTGTGATAACAGTGTATTGTATTGAAATTAATAATGAAGAGTTTATATATAATAACCAGCATGTATGAAAAATTAGAATTAATGTCATGCTTAGCAGGAAAACACTTGAGACTTCCCTTACAAGACCAGGAACAAACTGTATATTCATCTTTGGACTGTCATTGAACCTTCTCCCGGTGATTATAGCCAGTGTGATATAGTCAGAAAAGGACATAAAAGGCATTCAGTTTAGAAAGAAAGAAGTAGTAGTGCTGGAGGTTTTGTTGTTGCTGTTTTGTTTGTTGGTTATCAGTGACTTGATGATATCTGTAGAGAATGCAGTGATTCATATAGCTACTATAGCTAATCGGGGTTAGCGAGCTTGCAGAATACAGTGTCATTTACAAAGGATCAGTGTGACTGCACATCAAGTACAATTGAAAGTAACAAACTTCCCCAATAATGCCACAGAAATAAGAAGTGTACAGTAACAGTTCTGGCAAAAGATGTGAAAGACCTTTACTTTAGAAATTACAGAATATTGCTGAAATAAACTACAGATTGTTTAAATGAAAGGCATATGAATTATTGGCATATTGGGTAAGCTCAGTTCTTTCAGGAAGCCATTTCTTAATTTTAGATATATAGAATAATCCATGTAAAAACTGTCAGTAAGGATGATGTGTGCGTGTTCGTGTGTGTGTGTGTGTGTGTGTGTGTGTGTGTGTGTGTGTGTGTAGATTGGTAAGCTAGCTTTAAAATCCATGGAAATGCAAAAGACCTAGAGTAGCCAGTATACCTTAGGAACAAATTAAAAGGTTGAAATTTTAGCACTACCTAGTATAAAACCCCATTAAAGGTGAGGTAATCAAGGTAGGGCCGTGATAGACACTTAAGTGGAACAGGATAGAGTCTAAAAATAGACGGATGTATGTATACAGCTAATTTTCAGTACAGACATAAAGCATGCCAGTAGAAGAAGAATAATGTGTTCAACAAATAGCCTGGGCAGTTGGATTCTCTATGCAAAATGAAAACATGGACCTAAAGTAAACCTAAAACTATAAAGTCTTAGAAGAAAGTATAGGAGACAAGTCATGCCAACTTTGGGAGACTCAAAGGCTTCTTAGAAATGACATCAAAAGCACCTCATCAAAATTATAAACAGATCTTCAAAATACTCTGTTAAGGAGAATGAAGAGTATTCAACTAGGAGAAAATATTTATAAAAACATGCTTGGTAAACAACGTATTTTACTAAGAACTTATGGAGAACTCCAATACTTAGTAGTGAGAAAATAACCTGAACCTCATCAGCTCTGTGCAGGCAGAAAATGGGAGCAGGGCAAGGTGTTCAAGGTCCGAGGGTCTGGCCTAGCCGCCAAGATGTGAGAACTAAACCACAGAGAGATGCTCACACCCGTGCCTAGAGGAACAGAATCCCATCTCCTCTACTGCTGCTAGCATTTAGTTCACAATACAGATAGCTCTTGTGACAAGCAATCGGAGTTTCGATGTGTTGTATGTGTGTGTGTGTGTGTGTGTCTGTATGTATCTGTGTTTTTAAAGACCTAATTAAGTCTACTCTCTTATCCTTAAGACTAAAAAATCCATAAGTCTTTCTCTCTATCCTTCATCCCTTTATATTAAGGAACTTTCTGTTTGCTTTAGAAAAAAGGTAACTTTAAGGTTAATTATAGCTATAAACTATAACTATTATAACAAAGAATATAATTAAGCCCATTGCATTGAAGGTTTTTATATGCCCGTCTCTTAAGAACTCTAGTATAGCTTTAAAGTTTTCATGTAAGGGACTGGAGAGATGGCTCAGAGATTAGGCATGATTATGGCTCTCGCAAGGGACCCTTTTTGGCTTCCAGAACCTACACAAGAAATGCAAACTCACCTTAACTCCAGTTTTACAGGGATCTGATGCTCTGTGGCCTCTGTGGTGCCAGCACACGCATGGTGCACATTAACTAAGACATACATGTAAATAGAATAAACAAATAAACCTTTACATTTTTTAAGTTTTCTCAGTACAAAAGCACAAATGTTGCCAGAAAGAACATGTTCTTGTCTTTTCTATTGACACTCATTACTCGTAGTACCAAAAAGTAAACTCTAATTGAGTAATTCTGACTTTCAAAATGTAGAGATAAATACATTTTATAAAAATTTAATTGCAAATTGCATTCTAAATCATTCAGAGGAAACCTACTTCATTGTATTAATCTGAAGCCTGAAATTACATCTTATTTTATGACTCCTGTTTCTCTCCCTCACCACCTCTCTGTCTCCCTTCTTCCCACTCTCCCCCTTCTCTGTCTCTCTCTGTGTCTCTGTCTCTCTCTGTCTCTGTCTCTCTCTCTCTGTGTGTGTGTGTGTGTGTTGACCAGAGGTGGACATTGGGTGTGTTCCTTAGTTACTCTCCACCTTTTTTTTTTTTTTTGTAGACAGTCACTCAGTGAACCAGGAGCTCAACAGTTTGTCTAAATTCACTGTCCAGGGAGGTCCAGGAATCTGTCTACCTTTGCCTACCTGGCACTGGAATTACAAAATGCACTGTGCCCAGTCTTTTATGTAGGATCTGCCTGGCTTTTTATGTGGGTATTGAGTATCCAACTCATGTCCTCATGCCAACACAGCAAGTGCTTAACTGGATGAACTTCTCCCCAACCCTGGGATTCAGCTTTCTGTGAAAGAACTCAATAGTGTCCCTAATCTAGTAATAGGATGGTGGTGTGAAATGACCCTGCTTCAGAGTTATAAAGGTTAGGACAATAAACCATATTGTCCTTAGACAACTTGAGGGTTATGCTACTAAGTGGCTCTACTGTGGCACATATTACTATGTGTCTGCTCTCTTCTCTTTTACTCAGAGTTCTGTTTTCTATCCACAGCCTGCACCAGCATGGACTACTTTTAGAGTTGGCCTATTTTGTGGAATATTCATTGTACTGAATATTACCCTTGTGTTTGCAGGTAATTCTTAACTTTTTAATTCATTTGGTCTTACTATGTTTATGTCATATTCTTCCCTTCTGTAAAGAATCAAACATATCTACCAAAACTACTGTAAGAAGTTTTGTGGGGCGGTTTTAAACATTTGTTTATTTTTTCTTTGGGATATAAATTTCAGAGCACTGACTTCTTATTTACTATCATTTTCTAGTCTTTAACTTCAAAAGTTTTAGAGTTCAGTTATTAAGAACTTAACCTTGGGCCAGGAAGTTGGCTCACTGGTTAAAGATGCTTGCTGCCAAGTCTGACTTACATGAGTTTTGATCCCTGTATGTTATAAGAAACCTGACTTCCACAAATTGTCTTCCGGCATCTTTGTGTTTGACATGGTATATGGGCACATGCACACATACACTAAGTAAAAAGTATAATTAATATAAGAACTTGTTTCCTTGGCCGTTGATGAAGATAAGTATGTTACAAAGTTCGTTCATTAACTTTTATTTATTCTGTTTATTATAGAGACCCCTCACGTTTCCCTAGGATCTGCTTATAACTGCTCTTCATGTAGTCTTTAGAGACTTATCTATGTAATTTTCAAATCAGTGAAATCTAAAAATAGGGCTGGGGTTGGAGCTTAGGTGGTAATGCTTGCCTGGCACTGCATAAAACCAGATGTAGTAGCACAAACCTGTAATCTCAGCATTTAGGAAGGTGAGGCACAAAGATCAGGAGTTCAAGAATTTCCTCAACTACAGTGTGCGTGTGCACGTGTGTGCGTGTGAGTGTGTGTGTGTGTGTGTGTTTGAGGCCAGCCTGGGATAAATGAGATCCTATCTCGAAAAATAAACCCACACCCAAAGAAGTTAAATAAGGATTTCTATAAGAGCAACTATGAGCAACTATAGTCCCAGCACAAGAAATAATACAGTGCCAAGCAACAGGTAGCCTTACAAAGCCTACCTAAGAATTTGAGCGGTCCTTCAGTAGCATTTCACATTATTA